ACCTTAAGACATGAAAGGGATCCAGAAGTACCATTTTCCTGCAGATGATGATGTTGATGACGATGAACAGAGTGTGCTGGTAATGTTCCAGTCATGCAGGCAGCCTGCCTTACCTTCCTCCTCGCTCGAACCCCTCTCCACAGCTGCATAGAGAGGAGGTGTGGTGTTGGCGCCTGGTGAGCCCGTTGTACTTTTGGTAAAAATCCCACTGATGAACTTGAGCATCTTGCGATCGCGAGGAGGTGGAGCCCGCTGGATCGTTCCTCCTTGGCTCTCCTTGGCCTTCCTCGGGTCTTCACAGTAAGAGTGCAGGTCGACATGGTCAAGGGTACAACTTGTTCCTTTCCTTGGAGGCCTGCAAATGTCAGGGGCGGGGGGCGCGGGCAAAGACACGGAAACCGCCTTGTACCTCTCCCCCTGAGGGCTCTCCCGGGCCATCACGCCTGAAAAGCCTCCGCTGATGGGGGCCCCAGGCCGGATGAGCATGCCTCTGCCGTCGCTGTCCGCCCAGGACGCCCTGTAAGGCCCCAGAGTCGTAGCTGCCACTAAGGGAGACTGGTCCCCAATGCGGTTGTCCCTTCGATCCAGAGTTTTAGCCGGGTGATACAGGCTTGTGTTGGTCTCTCTGAGCTCCCTGGAATAAGAGGAGTTCCCTGCTGCATGAGAACGCATCACAACCGGAGGAGGCTGGCTGATCTGCGACGGGACAGTGAAGGGGAGGCTGCAGCGTGAGCGGCTGTTCAAGTCCGCTCCGTTTTCACCCTTCAGGAACATTATGGGAGGCTCCCGGTAGAGCTCTGTCTTGGGGCGTAAGGCATCTGAGCGAGGTCCCTCCCTGCGCATGCTTCCCTCAGACATTGTCCCTCCATACACTTTGACCATTTGCCTTATGGGTGGGTGTGCAAAAGATGCATCTTTGCTCTTGCCAACTGGTACAACGTCTTTCTGGGGCGCATGCATCTCCCTCCTCTCAGGCGTCTCCCTGCTTTCATTCTTTCCGTGCACCTGTTCCACTTCCTCCTCCACCTGTGTCTTTTCTTTTTGCTCCACTTCCACATACAAAGATCCTTCTTTCTCAGGGACATCTCTCACAGCCCGCTTCTCGTTCTCCTCTGCCTCCACCTCCACCTCCTCCTCCTTCTTCCTCTTCCTAGGGCTCCCTTCCCCCTCTGGAAGGCCCTCCGTCTGGCTCCCTGCAGCATCCTCTGGCACGGCCTCAACCTTCACCAGAGTGAGGGAGATGAGGTAGGTGGTGCGTTTCTGCGTGCTGCCGGCTTGGCTCATTGAGACGGCAGACCTGAGCACGGTGGCACCTGCTCTCTGACCTCACAGCGTCTGCACACCTCAGTCATGGCAGGACTGAGGCAGAGGAAACACAAGAGGCGTGAGAGATCACACTGATACTGGGTCAACTTGACAAGAATGCTACTCTCATTCTGAAATCTGATTGAGAGTGTTGCGTATGAGTTGCATTGCTAATCGTTCTGAATATATTCAAGGTGCTGACCCAGTGCTTGAACAAGTCTACACTGTTTTCTTAAACGCCTTCATTAATCCTCTTCAGTACACACTGTTACTATGCTGTCTGTCACTGATTCATTCATATTCCTTCCTCTATAGAAATGATGTTCTATTTAAAAAAAAAAGCCAAAAAAAAAAAGCCTGAAAACATGCAATACCTTCAGTTGATTAAACATTTTAAATTATGTCAGGTGAAATAAAACCATTTTAGTACAAAATGTCTTGAATTTTCCTCTCATCATACCTTCATTTTCTCTTCCTGAAGATCCTTTCACATCTTCATGAAGCTTTGATCTTATGAAGAATTCATCCGGCCATCAGATAACCGTTCATATCAAATGGCATATTAAAGACGGCTGATAAAAATAGCTCCAGTAGATGAGCCTGATATGATAATAAAAAAAAAAACTGGTGAAAAAAGAGCAGAAAAAAAGGCGAAATGGTTCACTTGTCACGAAGCGTCTGGCAACAGGAGCCTCCGTTCGACAATGTCATCCATAAAATTATAAGCCTGACAGAAGGGTCACTGAGAGATGCTTGCAAACATCTGTTGTAATGTCTGCAGGAGGAGGGGGGGGGAAAAAGGAGATCAAGTGGGCTGATTCAGGGAGCCCGAGCAAGGCTTTCTTTTTTCGCCTGTATTCCTCCTCTGGAGAGCGGCTCCTCTTGGTCACTGCATCCTCTCCTCCGAGAGCCTCATCCAATTAGCAAGTCAATAAAATGTGTCTGTGAGGCAGAGGAAGCCCACTCGCTCACCAGAGCCAGTCCCTCCTCCTTCCTTCCCTCCTCCCTCCTCTTTTTCTTGCTGCCACCGAGCCTTGCAGCTCTCCGCCGCCTCGTCGTTATCCTGCTGCACAAACCGGGATGCAGCGCCGGCAATCAGGCTGGAGGTGAGGGGGGGCCCTTCGCTGTGAGGCGGCAGCAGCGATGGTGGTCCTTGCCCACGTTCATCTGATTTTTATCCCGCACCGTTACAACAAACGAGCCAGGAGGGAGAGAGACAGAGAGAGAGAGAGAGAGCGAGAAAAAAAAAGAACCGCCTCAGCTCCACTCCTGCCAGCCCATCTGCTGTCTCCAGCTCTGTCTCGCCGCTCTCTCTGTGAGCGAAGCTCCTGCTCTCTCCTCTCTGAAAGACAAAGTCATTTCTCCTCTGAATAATGAGGCATCTTTCACAAACCCAAGAAGGGTTGATGACAATAGGAATAAAAGTTTGTGAGAAAAGGAGCATGTCTGAGATAAAGCAGAAAAGATGTTTTAAGAGCATGAATCAGACTGAATTAATATGTGATGCACATGAATCACTTACACAGATGTGAGATAATAGTTTTATGAAATGAGTATTCATTCACATCCTTGGGAGTTTTCTTCAAATTTTGTCACGACAAATACACAAAATTTGATGTGATCAACTGGAATTTGACGTTTCAAACACAAACGAGTGAATTATTGTGAAGGGACGATTTGTATCCTGCAACGATTGTCTTCAAATGTCACCTATTGAATAAATGCATTTCATTTGCACAGCTGTTCTGTGGAGGTCTATGAAGTTTGTTAGAAAATAATAAACAGCATCATGAAGGCCAGAAAACCAGAGACCAGAGAAAACAGCAGGCAGGTCAGGGAGAATGTTGTTGAGTAGTTTAAAGCAAAGTTGGGTTATAAAACTATATCTGAAGCCTTACACTCTGCTTTATCTGTAAACAGAAACATCTGGCACAGCTGCAACCCTACATAAGCACGATTATCCACCTAAACTGGAAAGCCTGGCAGAAATACATATATTAAGTAAAAGTGTACTTTAAATGAAGAAAACATTTAAAAGATTTAAAAGTTACTGCAAACATCAACTGATTTGATGATATTAATGACATTTTTTTTCTACTTCTCTCTTTTAGCTGCAGTCTCCAAGCTGAGTTTCCATCTCAGAGAGCAACCTGCCCCTGTGACTCCTCCACTCAGCTCCTGTAGACTAGCAGCAGCATTTAGCAAACACTCGGTGGAACTGCACATCTGCTACTTCTCAGTCCTGAATACGGTGGTAAACAGCATGAAAAGCTGTTTACCAGCTGTAATAAAGTGCTGTAATGACATAATACTGCCCCTTTAACGTTTTTGTCCAAACTTGACTGGTATTTATAACTCTTAATAACTTTATCCACATTAACAAAATAAATCGGTTGCCCCGTAACATGATGCTGCCACCACTATGTTCCACTGTTATGCAGCGGTTTTGTGGAAAAAACATTGCATTTTTAATTACTGCCTATAATATTAAGTGTGGTTTATCACAACAAAGGCTTTTCAGAGATTTATGCTGGGTTTCAGGTTTTATTAGGAAAATGTGTCCGTCTTTCGGTCACACTCCTTAGACTACAAATGTTAAATAAAGTCTGGTCCCAGCTGCTGTTGAAGATCGAGCTACAGGCACAGCAGCGAGTTGTAATGCGTTTTTCTAATGGGTCAGCATTTGTAACTTCAGAGAATAATGTCAACTAAATTAAATCAGTAACTTGTATTTTGTTTTTGAATGTTCCCAATGTGTCATATTTAAAGCAGCCTGGGGTCTGTTTTCATGGAGTTTGCATGTTCTCCCTCCAAGTACAACAGTCTCCAAACATTTTTATCCACACAAATTTAAAATGAATTATTACATTTGGTTGCTGCTTGGAGACTAAAAGCTGTGAAAACTGACCACGGGCGTCAAACAGACTTTCTGCATTATCTTCCATGTTATCTATGGTGTGCTAAGAAAAAAACAACAGTCTGGCTCAGTTATTATGCATCGTTCACATTTATTCATCGTTAATAAAGCAAAACACAAACTGTATCTGACAGTAATTGAATCAGGTCGGATTTATTTGTGGTCCCAGTGCTGGTTGGTTTCAGGTGCGTTTTTCCCTGTGTAACCAAAATAAATGAAAATAAAATAAATGAAATTCACAAAAAAAAAGAGAAACACTTTTTCTTTTTGACATAATTACAGAGCCATGTCAGTACTTGTGAAATTGTGCGCGTTATCTTAACTGCTTTCTCATGATTTGAATACAGTGGTTGTCACTAACGTTTCTATAGCTATAGGTCCTCTCAGACTTGCATTGTTCTCGGTTCTGATGGAGAAGTATCGCAACACACTATAAAAATCAGGGTGGGCATTAGTTTTTAGACTAATGAGCAGCGCCGCAGATTAGACGACACCAGTCCCTGCGGACGTTCTGCATTTTAAAACACTGGTACTGTCAGCAATCGTAACATCTGTAATTGTGAAAAGTTCAGAAGCCAGTCATGTTATCATCTTCTCCTCCTGTTTCTCTGGCTTCTGATCCAGGAATGTCAGAGTAAAAATTCACAACACAGGCTGTACTAGAAGGGAAATGCATTGATGAAATCTGAAGCTTAAAGACACTGCTGCATTCTTCTGAGTGTTCTGTCTGATTTCAGCTTTTTTTCTCCTCCTCCTGGAAATATGGGTGTTCTAGAGCTTTGAGGGCAGATGTCCTTTTCAAAGGATCAAAGGTCAGCATTTGCTGTGAGGAGAAAAACAAAAAAGTGTTAGAATTGTAATATAATATCTCACTTTGTTGAACAAGACCTCAATATGTCTGACATGTCCTTGTAGACATTAAAAGTCAGCAAGGACATGCGCGGTCTCTGAGAGATTCTGGGTCAATTCAGAAAGCAATCTGCTAAAAGTGACAGGATCCTTTTAAGAAGCTAAAACTGGACAATTCACGATCCATGGAAAAATATGAGTCACACTCAGGAACTCTGCAAGCAGAGATCAGAAAACACTGGGTTTCCTATAGAAGAGTGAAGTCGCACACACAACTCCACATTCTGCTTGTAGGCTGGTTGCTGGGAGGGAAAAGGAAGTTGGGAAACTTTCAGGCTGCAGTTAAAATGCAAATGATTCTTAGAAATTTGGGGGAAAAAAAAAAAGCCCTGCATTGTATTTGGAGGGCAGTACCCATCGATGAAATATGAAGTGAAAGTTGCTGAGCAACATGACAATGTGCTGCCATCTGTATAGAAACCTCAACGCCGCCATCCCATAATGCATTTCATAAGGTAATTAATTAAAGTCCTAATGCCACAGATGGAGACACAAAAACCTCCCACATACTTATCCAGTATGATAACAGGTAGGATTAAATAAGTGGTAAGCCAATTATTCATTCATGTCTTCTGTTGCCCGACTGCTTACTTGTTTTCTTGCTTTTAAAAACCTGACTGAAATAAACTAATCAATTAAATACTATGAGGAATCATTACAATGCATTATTAATGGCTGGGAGAGCAGTAAAGTCAGAAATCTTACTATTTATTATAAACTGAATTTCACAATTAAGTGTCCGATATTTGCCATGATCCAGAGAAGTCTTCAAACGTAAACGATGCTGAATGAAGCACAAGTTCAAGTCCAGCAACCTTTTAATTACAGTTATTTTAAGAAGCCCTCCACTAGTCACACTCTTCATGAACTGAACTGTCTGTTATCTTGAGTTCAGCTCTGCATGCAGTACAAAAGCACGTCGATCTTAATTTTTAATAATGAGGCCTACCATCAACAGTTGAGCGCCCTGCTCATTTATCTCGGGAACAAAGTCGGTGATCGGACGCGTCTTGAGAGTGGGGAAGTTTTTCCTTTGCACTGTAACATTGGTCGGCCACTCCTCCTCCGACGGCAGGCCAATAACTCTGAAAGAGCACAGAAGTATTTAATATGCACTGCATACGTAAGCAGCTCGGCGAGGAGAAAGTGCGTGCCGCTCACTCGAAAATCTTTCCAAGCTGGTCCATCTCCGATTCTCCGCAGAACAAGGGCCTGAAAAACGGAAGCAGAAACCTTGTTACCAGAAACATGGACTGATTGCACTTTTTGCTCCTCTTTGAACAATTAGACCAGGATTTTCTTTCACAAGCCTCAAGCATTTGAATCAAAGATAAGTCAAATAAAACGGTGCACCAAGTATATTATGTAAGAAAACGTCCAGCCTTTTTAAAATACTCATAATAGTTTATAATTTTGGCATCAACATTGGCAATCACAACGCAATTAAGCTGCTGGCATTTAAATCTCTGGCCCATTTTTGTTCGTCAATATCACTTTGCACCACAAGATGGCGCTATTGTGCACTTCTAAAGTCATCTGGGAGATGTTTCTCTTCACATCACTTTTCTCAAAGAGTTTGCATCAACATGACATCAAAAATTAGGATTATGTAAACCCATCTGTGTTTTAACTGTCCAGATCACTATAAATGTGACGAGAAAGCATAAGATTCCTTATGCATTATTTACGAGCTCATCTGGAAGAGGAGTGGAACTGTGATGAAATGTCAATTTCTGCTGTTACACAACTAAGAGAGTCAAACTCGTTTTTTATGTCCACTTTAAATCCACAGACACACTGTTTTTGTGAAACAGCTTTTCTGAGTGTCCCGTTCACAGATAATCTATATTTGTCAGGCCCAGGCAGAAGATCAGATGTTATCTGTTATGTTGATTTTACGTGTGACGTAAATATTCCAGAATTTCTGCACGGACTCCAAAAGAAGAACTACATAATCGTGTGCATCTCTATTTCGGACTCAAGAAGTTCACTTTGATTCAAAATTATAAATTAAAAGCAGAACAAATCCCTGAATTGGAAAAAAAACAAAACTAGAATTCACTTTGCAAATAAAAATGAAACAAACAGAAAAATATTCACATCTTTTAGCCACTAGCAACTAACTTACTTGCGTCTAAACATCTCAGCAAAGATGCAGCCGGTGCTCCAAATATCAACAGGAGTGGCGTAAGACGACTGCAGCAGAACTTCTGGAGGCCGGTACCACAGAGTCACAACCTGAGAGACACAGAGTCCAGGAGCATCAAGGATAAATCTTTCCACACACTTACAATAATGAGTAACTAAGGACATAAATAAACAGGACATTTAAATTGTAATTCATGAACTTTCTTCAAAATGTACTGTAA